CAGCGTTGTAGGGAGGTTATTGAAAAAAATGGTGAACGAATATCATATTAATTTTTTTTTTAATAAATTTACTACTTTTCAGCTTTAAAATGATGCATTAAACATTTTAATTGACGCAATACTTGTGAACTATCGTGATTTTAAAAAAGTTTATTTTTTTTGCACACCACTGTATATTAGGCAAAAAGTCAAAAATATTTAGAAAAGACCAAGCTTTATGGGATACTAATGCCAACTCCTATCTGTCTACAAGTCTTTAATAAGATAGAGGAGATAAATCCAGATATCTCTATTAATGTTTGGGAATGAAATGAAGAAACTGTACGCCCAAAACCTGTATTTGCCAGTAAGAATTTCTATATTTCAAATTCATGCAAAATAGAAAATTGTAAGCATAATAATCTGAACGAATGTTATGAAAAAAGTCCGCATGTAATTCATCTTATGACTTTTACAGATATAACCCAATCTGAAGAAAGTAAGTACAAGCAAAAGAATCACTTCCTTTGGATCAAAAATCTAGATGGCTTGGTATACAAGGATTTTGCTTATAATAATAAGAAGCATTTATGTAATCAATGCTTTCAGAGTTGGTCAACAGAGAAATCCTTAGTCCATTACCAGGAGTGGTGTTTCAGATTGGGGCAGCTCTTTAACGTATTACAATGCCCATAAAAGATATTAATGACTTTGAGAAATTCAAGAATCATGGGAGAATGATCAATACTCCATATGTGATTTCAGTTAACTTTGAGGCCAGAAATAAGAAATGTGAACTAATTAATAGAGGAAAGACTTGTCTAATTTTAGAGCAATATGTCAACAGTTTCTGCTATATAGTCCATTGGATTGATACAGGTGAGACATAGGCCTTTTCTATACCGCGAGCCAAATGCTACACAAGAATTTATTCGAAGGATTGATTAGGAGTTGGTAGAAATTAATAAGGTCTTAGCCATTAAAGCAGAACGAATTATTACAGATGAAAATAAAAGTCAATTCGTAGAAGCAGATAGCTGTTAGAGTCTGTCTAGCTTAATAGAAAACTAGAAAATATTGCTAAGGATTCAGAAGAGTGTAAATCTATAAAAACAACTATTCTTAAAGTAGCCAAAGAAATTGATCTAGCTGAATCTAAGGATGATAAGGTTTGGAATCATTATCATATTTCAGGTAAGTTTCGTGAGGCGTTATATAAGTCCTGCAATCTCAAACTTCAGATCGAACCATAGAAGACTTCAATTCCAATTATATTACATAACTTTCAGGAATATGACTCTCATTTAGTCTGTGAATTAGTTGAGCAGTCTGTTAATGCCTATCAGATTAGTGTTATTGCTGAGACATTTGAGTGATATAAGTCCATGAAGGTAGGTTAGCTTAAATATATTGATAGCCAACAGTTTATGAATAATAGCTTGGCCAATCTCACAAAGTATCTGGAAGATGATCATCCAGTAACTAGTAAGTATTTTAAGAGTAAAAGCTATACAGATGAACAAATAGCCTTAGTGTATCGTAAGGGATATACCCAGTGATGTACATTTTTGATGTTCCAGAGATTGTTGTCCCAGCTATATGTCCTAGTTATATGTCCCAACCTGTCTCACACTATGTCCCAAATGTTCTATTTGTCCTATTTATGTCCCATCAGTGTCCCATCAATATCTCATGACAATACTAAATATATTCATATGACTATATAGATTCTCATGAAAGATTTTTGGAGACTGAATTTCCTCCATTTCATAAATTCTATAATCAGCTTAAGGGGATATTTTATAAGAGGATTATGAATATGTCCAGAAAGTATGGAAGGAATTTGGATGCAAAAATCTAGGTAAGTACTATAATCTATATCTTATGACAGACGTACTCAACCTTACCAATGTCTGGACTAAGTTTCGAAAGACATCTATAGAACATTATGAACTTGATCTCAGCCACTATGTATCTGCTCTATCATTGTCCTAGAATGCTAAGCTTAAGTTTACTGGAGTTAAAATTGAACTATTCACAGAAATGGCTATATATGATTTCATCAAAAAAGCCAAGCATAGTGGCATTGCTATGGCTGTGCATCGATATTTTAAAACCAATAATCTGAAGATGTGAAAGGCTTTCGATCCATCTCAACTCATGACTTGAGTCTCATATGTCGATGCAAATAATCTTTACGGCTGGGCTATGAGTTAGTTCTTACCTATTGAAAATTATAAATGGGTCACTAGTCGAGAATATCTTCTCAAGAATCCTAAGATGCAAAAGAAATATCTTGAAATAATTCTCAAGACTAAAGCAGATGCATCACACGGATTCTATCTGAATATTTGCTCATATTTTCCTCTAAAGACTCATGACTATTTAAATGACCTGCCCCCAACTGTGAAAAATGTTGCAGTAAAAAAGATATGCTATGTACCTATAATGCTAAACTTGTGGATAAAATGGATGAATGGCGCTTCTCAACAACAGAAAAATTAGTACCTCACCTAGGTCCTCGAAAAGATTATGTCATTCATTACCAAAAACTTTAGTATTATGTGAAGCTAGGAATGATTGTAAATAAAGTTACAGAAATTATGTCTTTCGACTAGACTAACTGGCTTGCTTCATATATTGCAAAAAATATCAAGTTGCGTCAGAAAGCTAAGAATACCTTAAAAAGAATTTCTTTAAGCTCATGAACAACTCAGTATATGGCAAGACTGAAAAATGTTTGTAAATATCAGAATGTCAAACTTATGGCTATGAATAATGAGAGGGATGAGAAGAAATTCCTTAATAAAGTTTGTAAGTCCTCTTTCAAATATGGACGTCAGCTTGGAGATACGTTAATAAGAATACATATAGGAAAGGCTAATGTGACTCTCAACAAGCCTATCATAGTTAGTGCATCAATATTAGGCTTTAGTAAGCTTTTGATATATCACTTTTGATATGACTATGTTAAGGACAAATATAGGGATAAAGTCAAGCTTCGTTATATGGATACAGACTTTTTTATATTCATAACCGAAACAGAAGATATCTATAAAGATATGGAAGAAAGATACGACCTTTTTGACCTTAATGATTCAAAAACTATTGGGTTTTTCAAAGATGAGTACCCAATGAAAAGATGATCATAGAATCAATTCATATCTGAGCAAAGGCTTACCACAATGTCTTAGCTAATAAACCACAAAGTCTACACATAAAAAGATTAATAAAAGGGGTATGAGTGAAATGGCAATAGATACATACTTTCCATCATTAGGCGGGTCTTTACTAGATGACCCTGTTCTAAAAACAAGATATTTGATCCTTTGACCCAAGTATATCGGGATTGTCTCTTTAGAAAGGAAGTATTCTATGTTAAGAATATTGGTTTTCGAGCAAAAGATCACATAATATCCCTTATTGAGACAGAGAAAAAAACTCTCTGCCCAATAGATACTAAGCGCTGGATCTTATCTGATGGGGTAACCAGTTTGGCATATGGACATTGGTATGTTACAACATATAAAAATATGGTCAAAGATGATATTCCCTACGAAGAGGCTAAAAAAAGAGCTATAAGAGCCAAGCTTCCAGAGAAATACCAAAACGAATGTGTGTCTCACATATTCAGCTACTAGCAATAAGCTAGACTTGTGAGTGAGTTGAACCAGCTAAGTCACAGAGTTTACATAATTATTAGATTTTTTTTCTAGAGTGATAAATATTCAGTTTTTTTTTTAGATATAAAAAATACCAAGCGATCTCAGAGAAAACACATGATTTTAGACCGCTGAAATTTGCCATTATACAATCCAGCCAAGTATGATGCTGATCTTATATGCATAAAAAATATTAACCAGATGCCTGCAAATTATATAAAAAGATGATGTCCTGTTAGTGAATCCTTTTATCTGTCTTGTACAAGTAAAACAAAAATCTCAAATTTACCATTATCTGAATCATCGATATCAACAATCAAACGAACTCGTATATTTGCAAAATAATAATAAGGTAGGTTGGTTTATTGTTCGGCTAGCTTCTTAAGGCATGTCATCACAATGTTAATCTATTTTCCCTCCTCTTATCAGCATTCTGATCACAATAGACGCAGGAAAATTATTCATATGAATCAGTCAGAAATAAATTGAAAAAAATATGATTTTTATTACATCATTCATGCAAAGATTCTTCGGAGTTTAATAATGGATAATAACTATAAAATAAAAACGTATCATATGGGCGGATCTATGTAACACATGTCAGCTGAACATAGCTAATTATAGTCAAATGACACAAATCCAAGTGGCTTAGAAATTTGTAGAGGAAAATCTAAAAAATAATGTCGAGAAAAAGTATTCATAAATATTTTAAACGCGAAACTTTTAAGTGGAATGTTCTCAATTTCTTAAACGAGTGTGATATTGAACCGTTCGAACGGAAGATTGATTGTTATACTTCAAGCCTTGATATAATCGTTAATAACAAGAAAGATCGCGGGTGCAAGGAAGCACAGACAAATATAGAGGAGTAAGTGAGATCAAAAATTCTGGGAACGAGTAGGGTAGTGTTTGGGCGCAGGTAACCTTCTGGGTTGTACTGACGTCTGGCAGTTTTAAAGCGCAGGCGACCTTCTGGGTTTCCTGATGTTCAAGGCTTCTGGCCGATCTGACACTGGCCCTATTGAGGCGCAAAGTGACCTTCCGGGTTGCTCTGTGTTCAAGGCTTCTAGCCGAGCTCAGCGGATGGGATGTTTTAATATTCATTGTAATCAAAAATTTCAAGATAATTTTATTAATAATTCTAAACTTGTAAGTCTGAAGGTTCTGATAATCGACCCAATCGCGAACTTGCAAGAAAATGGGAAAAAAAACGTTCAAATAAACCGATTATCATAAACAACGGAACTGTCAACAGTGGGACTATCAACGGTGGGACTGTCAATGACAGGATTATTGTTGCTGGAACTAGGCGTAATCAGGTACAGATGCATATCTTTTTTATCATTTAGAAGTTGAGAACCAGCAAAACCAATTATTCTTTGTATTCTATTAATTTAGGATGACCATATTAAGCGAGGTCCGTCTATAAAACGAGCAAAAATTGACGAATACTTTCATCCTGTGTGCGAAACTCAACAAAGACAGTGGAAAAATTACGAGGAATCAGATGACCAGCCGGATGGATATATCACGCTGTCGCCACAGAACCCAACATTAATAAGTTTGACAATAGAACTTCCAATACTTGATCCTGTTAAAAATCCATTCTTAGAGGAAGATAGTGTCATCATATCAATTGATGACATCCTGAGCGAACTTTCTTTTGAATATGGAGATTCAATTAATGATTTCTTTTTACAAGAAGCTAATTTATCTCGGTTGTTCTGTAATTATCAAAATAAGTCATTAGAGATTGCAAGGACTAATGGCTTGTTTATAGAGTCCAACGTACATGAAATTTTGTCCCTATCCTCAATCTTAATGCTGACTCGAGATTCACATTCGAATATCATGATTAATCTTTTTGGAACACCTTTACTCGACAAAATCCATGAAGAATTTATGCCGAAACAACAAATTGAATTAGACCTTAATTGCGAATCAACATTTAGGAAAGCCATTAAGATGGCAATGAAAAATTCACGTAAGGATGCCACAAATTGGATACTTAGACAACTTGCAAATGAAGAGATATTGAGAGAAGATGCAGGTTATACTATCTTGGATTGTTTAAGAACATTATCCATGTCAACTATAAGAAACGAACACAGTGAAATGACTCATATCACGAATTATCTCGACCGAATAATGAGAGGATTCTTTGATGATCCGAATTAACACATCGTTCAATGGCCAAATACAGCACTGGAGGAAAGTAAAGCCAGAAAATTTGAAGGCTGAACAAAACAACCCAATTTCACAGTTTCAGTCATTCATCAGTTACAAACAAAAGCAGTTTTATTTGTAGGAGAAATCAGCTCGCCATCACAAAAAAATAACGTATTTAAAAACTGTAATGACCTCATCCGCATTGGTATCTTCATGAAGGACTGTTTAGATTCAGCTATTGACAAAGGAGCTGATGTTAAAGTGATAGGTTTTCAATGTGTTGGTAAGACAAATAATAAAATGGCATTATTCTTCCATATACTGTAGTCCTTTTAATCACTTCTTTGGAATATTATTTTGCAGACTACAAGGTTGATTTTTATATCATAGATCTAATTAAAGGAATGTATATCATGCTCCATATTGGACAAATGACATTTCCTGCTTCAGTAAAAGAGATGCTCTCATTTGTTAACGAAATGGATTTGCTTTTTAGAATACGAGAAATTTTTCGTGAATCTTTCAACGTTTTGTACACAAACCTCTGTCATCCAAGTCCGCCGTTAGCAAAAGCATCATTCAAATGGGATACTCTTAACTCTCCAAAGTTTCGACAGTTGGTTAGCAAGATACACAATATTAATAGGTCATATCCATTTTGGTATAGACGTTTTTAATGTTTTTAGTATATTTACATAAGAAATACCGCTCAGTTTTAAAAGCAATTTAATAATATTATGTAATATCCAACTTTATGATGTATTAAATGAAATAGCTTTATTTGCATCAGAAAATAAAATAAATTTATCCTACAATTACTGGCTTGTTATTACGACCGAATTGTGATAGAAGGATTTTTACACTGCGCATAGTAACATGATTTTCGCTAAAAATATCATGTATAATAAATATTCGGGCTACTACGTGTGGGTGGTTACTGACATTGAAAGAATACTTATATGTAATTGCATTGTATGGCTGTCTACAATCCTTTTTCTTGGCAAAAGTAATCTGCGTTCCAAATTGGAACGGACACGTGCGTGATTTTTCATCGGGAATTTTTTTCTAGATGTACCTTCTCAGTCTATTCCAGAGTAAGTTATTATATTATTTACTACTTTCTAAAACATAAACGAAGTTAGTGAAACAGATTATGTAATAGCTGAAATCTTAAACGAAAGGTTTGTTAATATACTGTGCCATTTCTTCTGCGCAATTAAGTCGAGCTTGGACATCCTACCACTAGAAAAAACAGAATTTCGTTCACGTGTATTCTCAAACATATAATAAAGCATTTGCATATCCCGCCAAAAATCATGATCAATAATTTGCCGGGCTGATCCTCATGATTTGAGTAGCTAGGGCGATACAAACATGATCAGATCTATTTTTAACCAAATCTTTATATCGGTTATAAATCTATTTTTATCCCGAAGTTCTTTGAATAAGAGGATAATCGAATAAAAATGAATATGATATTTTATTATAATATACTTGCTATAAATTGCTAAAAGTCTTTAAAATCGTTATAATCTGTTATAATCTACTAAAATATTATTATGGATTTAGATAGTAGAGCCCAATATAAGCTAGTTTCTGAGGGCTATAGTGATGTAAACTTTGAAGAATATAGAAGAATATTAGAAGCATTATGTCCTTTAGGTTAACGATATGATCATGAAACACCAGAAATGTGATGCTCCCATATTCATAATCCATTTAGAAAAATACTTGAAGAGAACCCAAGAATTCTTTTTAAGAATGGATATATTACAATGTATGAAAATTTATATGAACATGATAAAGTCCATGGTCTTCCATCAAATTACATATATTGTAATGTATGTGACTCCTTAGTTTTCATACCTGAAAATGGTTTTCGTAGAGCTAATTACTATCAAGATAGCCACTTGAAGAGATGTATTTCTGAAAATACTATTTCGAATGAACATGCAAAAAGAGAAGAAATTCTTAAATCTATTGATAGAAAGGAATTTCATATCTGGCAATATAAACAATTTATATTACAAGAAGAAGCTAAAATTAATCGTCTTTGTCTAGAGCTTTTCTCCCAATCTAACTCACACTCAGAAAAGGATAAGTTGGTATTGGTATATTATAATTATGATGGAAATTTTATGGCTAGCTATAAAAATTATGCACAATCTAAAGCAACTGTAGCAAAAAATACTATGCCAAGTGTTCCAATTTTGAGCCAGCTTATATTTCACCTGCCATGCAAGAAAATATTTCACCAACTTCTTATCAATCATCAAATTACTGAAGCAATATAAGTGAAATATTTATTTTATCTAAATACACAAAACAAAATAACTTAAACCATCTTAATCAGCCAAAAAATACTATGTTAAAATTGAAAGATGAAATAAAAATCACGATTATTTAACTGGTTTAATTAATATAATTTATTTTTTGCATTACATGATAGATGATCGCTTAGTGGAATTAGCTAAAGGCGCTATGCATGATCTGCAGGGTTAGATCTTTCAATATACTGTATAACAATTTTAATAAAGTTTTATTTGAGAAAGATCCCGAATATTATATTATTCAACTATGCGAAGCACCTCAAGGCTAATGCATATAAGTGTATACGACATAAATGTTTTTGATTCTCATTAAAGTATATATGATGTAATGTTAAGATCTTTAATGCACATTCCGCATGCCATTATTCTCGAACATAGGTGTAAAGTACCTTGCATATTCTCCTGTCCTTTTTTCAACATGATTGCAAGCCTAGAGAGAAGTAAATGGAATTATTTAAAAGGGCAGTATAGTGAAATTATTATGCCTTTATGTTATTTTTTTTTACTTCGCTTAGCAAAGCTTTCACTAACATTTAATCTTCACTCTATTAAAATATGAAAGAATTCCTTTAATGAAAGAGTCTCTTAGCATCATTAGGATTTTCATAGCATTTTTCGAATGAGTGAAGCAAGATGAATAGACAGGTGTTCTCGAAAAGGAGGTAGAAAACTTTGAAAATGTTCTGAAAAGAGTTTTAGAACAAGTCCCCTTAGAAGATGTTGAACAAAGAAAGAAGCTTCAAAACTTTGGCATTGGAAAAAAACTGGCGAAACAAATAGGTAGAAAAAGTAATAATCATAGCAAATATGTGGATATGATGTCATATATTTTTAGGTTTTCTGGTATATATATATTTTAGTGAATATACAGAGGCCTACAGTAATTTACTGGATTTTTTACTATTTATAAAATTTATATACATAATGCGAGTTTTTATCTGTATATAGAAAATTTTATTTTACTAAT